TAACATATGTCAGCACTACATTCTTTTTTGAAGGGTGTGTAATATTCCATTGCATGTTTATATTACATTTTGTTTATCCATTCACCTGTTGATGGTTACTTGGTTTCTTTTCACCTCTTGGCTGTTGTGAATAGTGCTGCTGTGACCAGTGATGAACATATTTGTCTATTGGTCATTTGGATATCTTTGGTTACCATTTATCCTGAACACTGTACTGGATGCTCTAGCCAGTGCAATAAGGCAAGAAAAAGAAATAAAAAGCATCTACAATGGAGAGAAAGAAGTAAAAATTGTCTTTATTCACAGATACATTATGTAGAAGGTCTGATGGAACCTACAAAAATGCTCTAAACTTATAAGTGACTTTAGCAGGATTCCATTATGTAAGATCAATATGTAAAAATCAATTGTATTTCTGTATAGTAGCAATGAATAATTGGAAATTGAATTAAAAATGAAATGATGACATTTGCAATAGCATCTAAATTATTAAGGACTTAGGAATAAATCTGACCAAAGATGTGAAAGACCTGTATGTTGCAAACTCTGAAACATTGCTGAAAAAATTTAAAAGATCTAAGTAAATGCAGAGATTAACCTTGTTCATGGGTTAGAAGACTCAGTGACCCATGAATCCATGCTAGGATATCAAGCCTCCTTAACTTGACATATAGTTTTAATGCAATCCTAATTAAAATCACAGTAGGCCTTTTTTTAAAGGTAAAAATTAATATATATGTATTTTTTGAGATAGAGTCTTGCTCTGTCACCCAGGCTGTAATGCAGTGGCACAATCTTGGCTTACTGCAATCTGTCTCCCTGGTTCAAGTGATTCTTGTACTTCAGCCTCCCGAGTAGCTGGAATTATAGGCATGTTCCACCATACCGGGCTAATTTTTTTGTATTTTTAGTAAAGACAGGGTTTCTCTGTGTTGGCCAGGCTGTTCTCGAACCCCTGGCCTCAAGTGATCCGCCCACCTCTGGCCTTCCAAATTGCTGGGATTTCCAGACCAGCCTTACCAACATGGAAACCCTGTCTCTACTAAAAAGACAAAATTAGCCAGGCATGGTGGTGCATGCCTATAATCCCAGCTACTTGAGAGGCTGAGGCAGGAGAATTGCTTAAATCCGGGAGGCGGAGGTTGCAGTCAGCCGAGATCATGCCATTGCACTCCAGCTATGTTCCCCAGGCTGGTCTTGAACTACTGGACTTAAGCAATTCTCCTGCCTTGGCCTCCCAAAGTACTGGGATTACAGGCATGAGCCAATGCGCTTGGCCAGGAGAGTTTTTTCAACAGAGGGTTCTGGAAAAATTGGATATCCATGTGTAAAAAAATGAATCTTCTTTTATACCTTGCTCCGTTATGCAAAAATCAATTTAAAATGCATCATAGACCTAAATGTAAAACCTAAAATTATAAAACATTTAGAAGAAAACATGAGAGAGATTTTTTTTTTTTTTAATGACATTGGATTAGACATGATTTCTTTTTTTTTTTTTTTTTGAGGTGGAGTCTTGCTCTGTCATCTAGGTTGGAGTGCAGTGGTGCAATGTCAGCTCACTGTAACCTCAGACTCCTTGGTTCAAGTGGTTTTCCTGTCTCAGCCTCCTGGGTAGCTTGGATTATAGCTGATTTTTGTGGGGTTATTATTTTTTTTTTTTTTGGTAGAGATGGAGTTTTGTCAGATGTGAGCCGGCATTACAGGCATGCACCACCATGCCTGGCTAATTTTGTCTTTTTAGTAGAGATAGGGTTTCCATGTTGGTAAGGCTGGTCTGGAAATCCCAGCAATTTGGAAGGCCAGAGGTGGGCGGATCACTTGAGGCCAGGGGTTCGAGACTCCTGACCATAGGTGATCCACCCACCTCCACCTCCCGAAGTGCTGAGATTACAGGTGTGAGCCACCATGCCTGACAGACATGATTGAAATGACATTACAAGCATCATCTATACAGAGTAGGTTAATAAATAGGAGTTCATAAAAATTATAAAACCTCTGTTTTTCATAAGACACTATAAGAGATTATAAAAAGACAAGTCACAGACTGGGAGAAAATATATGCAGAGCATATATCTGATAGATGACATGTCTCAAGAATACATAAAGAACTCTCAACTTTCATGAGAACATAAAGAACTTGTATGAGAAAATAAACAACTCAGTTAAAAAAATGGGCAAAACATTTGAACAGAAATTTCATCAAAGAAGATATATGGATGGAAAATAAGTTAATGGAAAGATGTTCAGTATCAACAGTACTTACAAATTAAAATCACAAGTTGATATCACTACATACTGATTAGAATGTCAAAATTAAAAAGACCGATCTTATAATGTGTTGAAGAGGATGTGGAACAATTGGAACTCTCAAATAAAGCTGACAAGAGTGAAAAAAATGGTACACTCACTTTAGAAAACTGTTTGGCAGTTTTTTAGACCTATAAACACCTAATCCAACCATCCTGTTCTAGGAATTTACCCAAGATAAATGAAAGCATTATGTCCATAAGATTTGTACATGGGTATTCATAGCAGCTTTATTTGTAATAGCTTCCCACGGGAAATAACCCATATGTCTATTAATATAGGTGAATGCATAAACATACTGTGGTATATTCATACAGTGGAATATCACTCAGTAATAACAAGGAATGAACTGTTGATATAAGCAACAACATGCATTTATCACAAAATAATTATGATGAGTGAAAGAATCCAGAGAAAGAATATATACTGTATGATTCTACTTATTATATAAATTCTAGAAACTTATCTATAGTGATAGGAAGGAGATAACTTGTTGCCTGGGGAGGAGAGATAATGAAAGTGGAAAAAGAAAATTTTGGTGTTGACAGATATGTTTCACTATCTTGATTGTGGGAATGGTTTCATTGGTTTTTGTTTCTTATGCTCTGGTATTTTTAGATATAAAATATTTAATGATTCCTAAGCTTCCTTATTTTACATTGTGTTTGTGGAAAGTTTAATGTTTATAAAGCAAAGAGTTATAACTGGATTGTTAAGAAACTGCTTTAATGATTATTTATTACTATTTCTTTAATATTTCTGATCTTAGATCTTGACTAATTAATGATGCACTCAATTTATTTAAATGTGGAGTTTAGCTCTAAAACTCCTGTAACTTAAAAGTGAACGATATTTTGAATGGTCTGAATATTGTTCATTAAGGCATTTGGCTCAAAGGAAAATACCATAGTCCACCTCTGATAGTTTTTTTACCATTATTGTTTGAGATGGAGTCTTGCTCTGTTGCCTAGGCTGGAGTGCAGTGGTGCTGTCTCAGCTCATTGCAACTTCTGCCTCCCAGGGTCAAGCAGTTCTCCTGCCTCAGCCTAACTGGGATTATAGGCACCTGCCAGCACACCTGACTAAGTTTTGTACTTTTAGTAGAGATGGGGTTTCACCATGTTGGCCAGGCTGGTCTTAAACTCCTGACCTCAAGCAGTCCACCCACCTCAGCCTCCCAAAGTGCTGGGATTACAGGCATGAGCCACCAGGCCTGACTTTTTTTTTGGAGACAGAGTCTTACTCTGTTGCCCAGGGTGGAGTGCAGTGGCACAGTTTCGGCTTACTGCAACCTCCGCCTTCCTGGTTCAAGTGATTCTCGTGCCTCAGCCTCTTGAGTAGCTGGGACTACAGGTGCACACCACCATGCCTGGCTAATATTTTTTTATTTATTTGAGATGGAGTTTCTCTTTTTTGCCCAGGCTGGAGTGAAGTGAAGCAATCTTGGCTCACTGCAACCTCCACCCTCCGGGTTGATGCAATTCTCCTGCCTAAGCCTCCCGAGTAGCTAGGATTATAGGTGCCCGCTACCACAGTCAGCTGATTTTTGTATTTTTAGTAGAGATGAGGTTTCTCCATCATGGCCAGGCTGATCTTGAACTGCTGACCTCAGGTGATCCACCCACCTTGGCCTCCCAAAGTGCTAAGATTACAGGTGTGAGCCACTGTGCCCAGCCTAATTTTTATATTTTTAGNTATTTATTTCAAAACAGGGTCTCACTTTGTTGCCCAGGTTAGAGTGCAGTGGCACAATCTAGGCTCACTGCAGCCTCCGCCTCCTGGGCTCAGGCGATAATCCTTTCACTTCAGCCTCCTGAGTAGCAGGTGTGTGTCACCACTCTTGGCTAATTTTTTTGTTTTTGTTTTTTGTAGAGGTGGGGTTTCTCCATGTTGCCCAGGCTGGTTGTGAACTCCTGAACTCAAGTGATCCAGCTACCTCTCCCTCCCACAGTGCTGGGATTACAGGCATGTGCCACTGTACCCGGCAAAAATTAAAAAAAAAAAACAAAAAAACCTTCTTTTAAATGGAGGCTTGTTATGTTGCCCAGGCTGGCCTTGCACTCCTGGGCTCAAGTGATCCTTCTCCTGCCTCACCCTCCTGAATAGCTGGGACTGGCTTGGTATTTAAACTTTGGGTTTTTTTTTTTTTTTTTTTTTTTTTGAGACGGAGTCTTGCTCTGTCACCCAGGCTGAAGTGCAGTGGCGTGATCTTGGCTCACTGCAACCTCTCCTTCCTCGGTTCAAGGGATTCTCCAGCCTCAGCCTCCCGAGTAGCTGGGACTACAGGAGCATGCCACCACGCCAGGCTGATTTCTTGTATTTTTAATAGAGATGGGGTTTCACCGTGTTAGCCAGGATGGTCTCCATCTCCTGACCTGTGATCCACCTGCCTCGGCCTTCCAAAATGCTAGGATTACAGGCATGAGCCACTGTGCCGGGAGATTACTCTTAATAGAGCCTTACACAAGTGAAAAGATTATAGTTGTGTTACAAATGAATTGATGTTGTTAACTTGTACTTTGTAGGAGGTAAAATCTGACGGGATGATAAAAATAGCCTTCATCTCAGAATGACAATTTGATTATAACTCCAGCTGAGAAGTGTGCTAATTGATGATTGTTAACTCAGGGATATATTAATTTTTGTCAGGATAAAGTGTTTTATTGATATCTTTCTTCTCCCTCTTCTAGGAAATATAGTAGCAGCCATGATAGAAGACAAAGGACCAAGAGTGACAGACTACTTTGTCGTAGCTGGTCTCACTGACACATCTACCCTTTTGGATCAAGAAATAAATCGTTTAGATACTAAGTCAACTGGACCTAAAGCTCCAATTACAGACATTGCTGTTATTATCAAATCAGCTGGAGAAACAGTACCTGAAGGTTACACCTGTGTGGAAGCTACTCCATCAGCTCTCCAGGCAAACCTGAATTATGGAAGTCTGAAAAGCCCAGAACTTTTCCTCTGTTACAAGAGAGGGAGAGATAAACCACCCCTTACAGATATTGGGTATGGTGACTTATTTTCTTTGCTGTAGTGAAAGAAAAAAATTTATTTAAGACTCATGGAAGTAGAAATTTGAAATCCTTGATAGTTTTATTATTGATAGTTTATTATTATAGTTGTATTGTTACTTCAGGATTAATTATAGTAATATATTACATGTTTGTATCCACCCTTATTGAATTTCTCTGTATTGCACTTGAATTGATAGATCATTTGCTCTCAAAAGAATATTAAAATGAAGACATAAGACCCTAAAATGTCATTTTGTTTCTGTTGTGCTAATCAAATAAGTTGATTAATTAAACACGATAGAATGAGAAGCTGTAATAAAGACACTGTAATTTTAAGGAGCTGCTTGGGTTATATAGTGAGTTCTTGTGAAGATCTGTTCTTGTTTAACAAAAGAGCAGTCCTGTTTTAAATACAGTTGTACTGTGTGGCTTTCAGTGCTGGGAGGAGGGTGTTTACAGATAAGTGTTACAGTTTTCATGAAATATCTCGTATCTAGTCTACCAATGAAGTCATTCTTTTTTGTAAAAGCCTACAGAGTGGACCTTTGTACCCAGCACAGCCCAAATGGCTACCTTGACTCTTCTGTAAAATTTATGTGCTTTTAGAATACCTGTAATACTTTACCATATATACATGTGATATATTGAGTGAGTCAGTGAGTGAGTGGTGAGTGAATATGAAGGCCTAGGACATGACTGTACACTACTGTAGACTTTAATAAATTAACCTTAGCTTATTGTAATCTTTTTACTTTATAAATTTTTAGAGGTTTTGTTAATTTTTTGATTCTTTTGTAGTAATACTTAGTTTAAAACACAAATACCATACAGCTATACAAAAATGTTTTTCTTTCTTTAAATCCTTATTGTTTTTTTCTATTTAAAAAAATTTCTTCTACTATTTATTTATTTATTTATTTATTTCAAAACAGGGTCTCACTTTGTTGCCCAGGTTAGAGTGCAGTGGCACAATCTAGGCTCACTGCAGCCTCCGCCTCCTGGGCTCAGGCGATAATCCTTTCACTTCAGCCTCCTGAGTAGCAGGTGTGTGTCACCACTCCTGGCTAATTTTTTTGTTTTTGTTTTTTGTAGAGGTGGGGTTTCTCCATGTTGCCCAGGCTGGTTGTGAACTCCTGAACTCAAGTGATCCAGCTACCTCTCCCTCCCACAGTGCTGGGATTACAGGCATGTGCCACTGTACCCGGCAAAAATTAAAAAAAAAAAACAAAAAAACCTTCTTTTAAATGGAGGCTTGTTATGTTGCCCAGGCTGGCCTTGCACTCCTGGGCTCAAGTGATCCTTCTCCTGCCTCACCCTCCTGAATAGCTGGGACTGGCTTGGTATTTAAACTTTGGGGTTTTTTTTTTTTTTTTTCCTCTCTCTCTCTCTCTTTTTTGAGATGGAGTCGTTTTGTCTCCCAAGCTGGAGTGCAGTGAGTGGCATGATCTTGGCTCACTGCAACTTTAACCTGCTTCCCAGGTTCAAGTGATTCTCCTGCCTCAGCCTCCCTGAGTAGCTGGGATTGCAGGTGTCTGCCACCATGCCTGGCTAATCTTTTTGTTATTTTATAGTAGAGACAGGGTTTCACCATGCTGGCCAGCCTGGTTTCAAACTCCTGACCTCCGGTGATCTGCCCACTTTGGCCTCCCAGAGTGCTAGGATTACAGGTGTGAGCCATCGCACCTGGCTGGTTAAAAATACAGTTTTCTTATTTTGAAAGTTTTTTGCAAAGATGATATCTTCCTATGTTTCCTAGGCTGTTCTTGAACTCCTGACCTCAAGCAGTCCTTCTACGTTGGCCTCCCAAAGTGGTGGGATTATGGGTGTGAACTATTGTGCCTGGCTTTTTTTTTTTTTTTTTTTAAACTATTTAAACTCTTTTGTTAAAAATTAAGACAAAAAGACACGTTAGCCTAGGCCTACAGAGAGCTAGTATCATCACTGTCTCTGCCTTCTGCCACCAGATCTTGTCCCACTGAAAGGTCTTCAGGGGTAGTAACCCACATAGAGTTGTTATAAGCTCTATGATACCTTTAGGAGGTATTCCAGATGGCATTCTTATGCCTGAGACTGTTTTACAGTTAACTTTTTTTGTAACTAGGAGTATACTCTAATGATAAAAGATATAGTATTGTACATACTAGGTGATAGGAATTTCTCAACTCTATTTTAATCTATGGTACCACCTTAGTATATGTAGTCTGTGGTTGAAGCATCGTTATGTGGTGCATGTCTGTATAATCTGAACAGGGCAGTATGTTGTTTTATATATCAGCTGCATTTCTTAAGATACAGAATCATAGACCATACACAATTCTTATTTTCTTCTCTTTATCAGATTCATTGACTTTCAGCTGATTTGGTTCTCCAGCTCTTTTGTTTTTTGAGAAACTTCAGACATATGGAAAGTTGATAAACTATTATAATAAACACAAGCATCCTTTTCTCCTAGATGATAGACTATAGAATAATGAACAATATACTTGTCGCCAACAAATGACATTTTTTCGTTTGTTTACTAAGCTAATTGAAAGGAAGTAGGAGCCAAAATGTAGATACTCCATATCCTATTTTGTACTTTGCTTTTTTCACCTAAGAGTATGTACTGGGAATCAGTCTGTATCTGAATAGAAGATTTTTTGCATTATTTTGTCTGACTGTATAATACTTATTTGTGTGGATGTATTTACTTTATTCAACAAAACCCCTACTGATGGACATTTGGGTTGTTCCCAGTTTTGTGATATTAAAAGAATACTTGATGAATAACTTTGTGCATTTATTGTTACATATTTTTGGAGGTATGTTTTCAGGTAGATCTTAGGAAAGATTGCTGGATTAAAGTATAAATGTGCATATAATTTTGTTAAATGTTACTAAATTTTTCTCTATAGTGTTTGTGCCATTTTATATTTTGCCATATATGTGAGTGCTTTTTTATCCACATCCCATCAACAAAGTATGTGGTCTGACTTTTATATTTTTTGTCAATCTCACAGAGATTAATTGTATATCACAGTAATTTCATTGAGGTTAAGCATTTCTACATATGTTTAATGGGTGATTTTCTTTTTTCTTTTGCTTACACTATGAACAGATTTTTAATCTTTACCTTGATTTTTTAAAAGGAGTTTTTTTTATGTATTAGGAAGATGAACTTTTTGTGAAATAAGTTGCCAAGTATTTTCTTCAACTCTATAACTTGTCTTTTATCTTGGCTTATGGTGTTTGTTGTCATGTAAAGTTTATTTTATGTAGTTCATTTTTCTACTCTCATATTTATTGCTACTAGATTTTGAGTCATAGTCTTTTGGAACTGCTAGGTATACTTCTATTTGGCACTAGTATGATTTCATTCCTTATGTTTAGATCTGTGATCCACTGGGGGATCCCCTTCTGGTGTATAGTCTGAAGTATGGACAGAATTTTATTTTTTTCCAAATGACAATCCAATTATCTAAATCCTGCTTATTAAATTTAAAAATTTATCCTTCCCTTTGTATATTGAGATATGACCATCATCATATACTAGATTTTTCTTCTGTTTGTCTGTTCACTTACTTGCTAATACTCTCCTGATTTAAATATAGAGGCTTTATAGTATATTTTAATATTAGTTGGGCTTTAACAGCTTTATGGAGATACAGTTCACATGTCACACAGTTTATTTACTTAAAGTGTATTCAGTGATTTTTAGTATTATTTACAGAGTTGTGCAGCTGCCACCCCAATTAATTTTAGAACATTTTCATCTATCTAAAAAGAAACCCCATGGTCATTAGCAGTTGCTGTTTAGTAGTCTTTCTCACCTTCTACCCCTAGGTAACTATTAATCTACTTTCTGTCTATGGATTTGCCTATTCTAGACATTTCATAAAAACAGAATCACTATATGTGGTCTTTGTGACTGTTTTTTTATTTTTCTTCACTTAGCATGTTTAGTTGCTTGTACTTTTGGTATTATATTTAAGAAGGCTTTGTCTAACCTAAGGTCACAAATATTTATCCCTGTTTTTTTCCTAAGACTGTTATAGTTTTAGTTCTTACATTAATTTTGATCCATTTTTAGTTTTTTTGATGAGTAGTACAGGGAAGGGGTCCAGCTTCATGCTTTTGCATGTAGATATACAGTTATTCTAACACCACTTGTTGACAAGACCATTCTTTCCTAATTGCATTGTCTTGGCACCGTTGTTGAAATAAACAGATGCAAATATAAAGGCTTAATTTTGGAACCTCCATTGAATTCTGTTGATCTATATGTTTATCCTTATGCCAGTACATTGCACCGATTACTGTAAATGTGTGGTAGTTTTGAAATAGGGAAGCGTGAGTCCTCCACCTTTCTTCTTTTTCCAGATTGCTTTGACAAGAAAAAACAGAGGCAGCTGGGATTTAGATAGAAATTGCATTGACTTTATTGATCTATTTGAGGGTATTACCATCTTACCAATATTGTCTTTTGTCCGTAAGCATAAGATGTCTTATTTATTTAGCTCTTTAATGTTTTATAGTTTTCAAATAATTTTTAAAGCTAAAACATTGACAAATTATGAAGGGAATTTTTATGAAAACATCTGAATACTTGTTGAAACGTCTAGGAATTGACCTGAAGACGTTTGTGGTGTTTCCTGTTTCTTTTTTCATATGTTGCTTGTTATTAAGCAATAAAAAAATCAAGTTGTTCAATCCTGTTTACATTTCTCAAATTATGTTTTGGCTTTTGAAAAATAATTAAGAGACTTAAAGTTCCCAAAGGAATAATTTAAATTTGGTTTGTAGTGGAGATTGGGAAACAATAGGAGAAACCAAAAAAATTTTCTTGGTTTCAAGAAGAAAATCAGCATTAACCTGAAATGTATGTAGTATGTATATATATAGGTACATATGTTTGTGTGTATGTATGTATCTATATCTATTTCTTCCCTTCCTTCCTGCCATGCAGAGTTCTATATGAAGGGAAAGAACGGCTTATTCCAGGATGTGAAGTGATCCTAGCCACACCCTATGGTCGCTGTGCCAATGTCAACAATAGTTCAACTACTTCACAAAGAATCTTTATCACTTATCGAAGGGCTCCTCCAGTTCGACCCCAGAATTCCTTGGCTGTAACTGATATCTGTGTTATTGTAACCAGTAAAGGAGAAACTCCTCCTCATACCTTCTGCAAAGTTGATAAAAACTTAAATTGTGGAATGGTAAGAATAAAGTTTTTATTTTCAAAGTTTCATATGAAAACAAAGGATATGTTTTGGATTGCTGTTTACTGTTGGGTATATACTTTACTCACATTTTATATTTTCATGATGTTTGTTTTTATTTTTTCCTAATTTTTATGATTGATAATAATGTTTAAAATCCCATCCCGTGATTTACAATAATTTCATCTTTAAGTCAGGGATATTTTTGGAGGAGTTAATCCTAATACTGTTTGAGTTACATTAACAAAGGTTTTATTACCTTTTGGATTTCACTGGTATCTTCAGGGATAACTGCAGGGATAGAATGGTAGGGGCTCTCCTTATATTGATTTATTCATTCATTCAATTTTTTTTTTTTTTTTTGAGACCGAGTCTTGCTTTGTTTCCCAGGGTGGAGTGCAGTGGTGTGATCACAGCTCACCTCAGCCTTGACCCTCCACACTCAAGTGATCTTCCCACCTTGGCCTCCCAAGTGGCTGGGACTACAGGCTAGTAGATATAGGGTTTCACCATGTTGGCCAGGCTGGTCTTGAACCTCTGACCTCAAGTGATCTGCCTGCCTCGGCCTCCCAAAGTGCTGGAATTACAGGCGTGAGACACCATGCCTGCCTGTTTTGTTTTTTGAGACAGAGTCTCCTTAAGTTGCCCAGGATGCTCCTGAACTCTTGGGCTGAAGAGAAAATATTGCAGTTGTGCATACTTACTTTTTAAAAGGACTCTAGTGAAGAGGAAAATGAACATAAACATTTGATTCATAGTTTTTAAAGACTACAGTTTATTTTAGTTCAGATTTACTTTGAAAAATACCTTCAAGTCAAACTAATATTAGCTTAATGTTATATAGACGGAGGTGACAAATGCACTCAGACCAATTAGTGAAGACAGGGTTGCCTCTGGAGGTGATGACCTCGTAGCACTCCAGTGATCCCAGTCTTCCTCATTTTGGGCTCCAGTGCGCACTCCACTTTGTGCTGTGTCTTACAAGCAGGGGCAATCTCTGGGTCATTGCAAAATTAAATCTTTTGAAACTGCCTTCATACTAGTTTGATTTTTGTAGCATTGTTTTCTTACTCTCTTATTTCAGTGTTCTGAACTTCATGCTGTGATGTATTTTATACTATGTAGTTTGTCATATAAACATATTTTAAAGACTCTCCTGAGTAAATAACAAGAATCTTTAGATAATATCCAACAAAATGAATTTCTTTTCACTCTTTTGTCTTTTTATAAACCTAATTTATGTTTTACAGTGGGGTTCCAGCGTGTTTCTGTGTTATAAGAAGTCTGTACCTGCTTCAAATGCAATAGCATATAAGGCTGGTAAGTGAATTTAAAAAAAAATTGTCTCAATTGCTGTACTTATTGGTGCATATTAACATTTGGCTAAAGAAACAAAGTATATTCCCTTATATAGTTTGTAGAATTGATCTATTCATAAAATTATCTATAATTATAGCATATAAAGATAAATGTTTTCTTAAATACATTACATATACATAGATATATTAATACCCCCACCAAACATGCTGTTAATTTAATTTAAACATTTATCCAAAGCAAACATATGTGGAATAAACATTCAAACTTTTGGTCTGCGTTAATCGACTTAACAGTATAATGGAAAGTTGTTTACTCTCTGACCTTTTATATTTTGGCAATCAGAAAGGTGTCAACTGCATCTTTACTTCTTATATTTCCTTTTCTTATCTCTGTGTGTCTGATTTGAAACCACATGTTACTTGCCATGAAAGGTGGACTTGCTTCCTTTCTCCTTTGTTGCAAAGAATCAGCTATATGGAGGAGAGGAGGGCCTGAGAAACTTTTCTGCCATGAAGTGTTTGAGAAATCTATCGCCACATTCTTACTGCACATTAAAGTGTCAAGGGCTGTAAAGATTTAAGTGTCACCTCTTCATCCCACTGGTATGGTGGGATAAAAACTGAAAATACAGGTATGCTCCAGTTGTAAATAGAAAAGATACTGGAATACTTCTTTGTGAAACGAAGCAGTGCTAATTACTTTTTGATTTTGCACAGTTCTTGAAATAAAGTTTTACTTCAGGGAAGTCAGGCAAATCAATATCCAAAAATTGTAGCCTTTCATGAAACAACATTCATACTAATGAACCAAACCATTTAATTTACCATATAAAAATAATGGCAACAGCTAAAAAATATAAAATTCAGTATTATTTTAAAATTTGATACTGTAGGCTGGGCATGGTGGCTCATGCCTGTAATCCCAGCACTTTGGGAGATTGAGGTGGGCAGATCACTTGCGGCCAGGAGTTTGATACTAGCCTGGCCAACATGGTGAAACCCTGTCTCTACTAAAAATACAAAAATTAGCCAGGCGTGGTGGTGTACACCTGTAGTCCTAGCTTCTTGGGAGGCTGAGAGATGAGAATTGCTTGAACCCGTAAGGTGGAGGTTGCAGGGAGCTGTGATTGCACCACTGCACTCCAGCATGAGTGACAGAGCAAGATTCTGTCTTTAAAAAAAAAAAAAAAAAAAGAAAAAGAAGTGATACTGTTAATACTGCTGTAATATGTTGATTGTATGTGATTTCTTAATTTTTTTTGTGGGGAGGGATATCACTTAAAAAACTTAAGCTGTAAAAAAGCATTCAGTTATTTGATATGAGACACTTACTTTAGAATAGAGAGTTTTGGATACTGAATTTGGGCTCAAAATTCTACTACTGATTTTGAAGTTTTTCACTTGGAGATGGTCCATGTATTGATGTCCTTAGAGGCTAATGAACTGATGCCATGTAGGTAATTTATTCTGAAGGGGCTTCATTGTGCTTCTCAAAGTGCCCCTTGCTCCTACTTTCTGGGTCTCATGTACTCTGTACTTAGTCACAACGTTTCTGTCTCGTTTACTTTTCATGTTGCATGCCTTTTACCCTGCTTCTCTCTCAAGATGAGTTTAGGGGCTATGATAATTTCTGTTGCCTCAGTATTATTTGATAACACTTGTCTCTTCCCTGAATTTTTCACAGACTAACTGAAATAGTTGGTAAATTTTTTTGTATGTTTCTTACGATTTTTCGTAAGTTGTTGGCATGTGTAGAAGAAAATACATTGATTGGTGATCAAGATTGGTTGAATGGAGTCTCAAGTAGTATATTAATACATTTTTATGTTACAATGAACTATAAATCCATGGGTAAAATATCAGGGGCAAACTTGTTTCTTGTAGTTTCTGTTATAGCAAGATAAAAATCGATTTAAAAATACCACACAAGTATTGCCATGAAATTTGGTATTAAAATATTCCATTAATATCTATCATATGTAATTTATGGCAAAGTAACTATTTAAAACATTTATTGTTGTCTCATTCTTCAAAAGGTTTAATTTTTAGATATCCAGAAGAGGACTATGAGTCATTTCCACTCTCAGAATCAGATGTACCTCTCTTCTGCCTTCCTATGGGAGCCACTATTGAGTGCTGGGATCCAGAAACCAAATATCCACTTCCAGTTTTTTCAACTTTTGTGTTGACAGGTTCTTCAGCCAAAAAGGTATGTTTTTGCATCATTGATTAAACCTATTTTTGCCATGTTTTTATTTTATAAAGTGGTTAATACAAGTTTTATTTGAATGTTTGGATTATTTGGACATGATACATTTTGGTTTAAATTTACACTGTCATCCCCATGATGAGAAATCCACATGAAAATTGCTATCAGGATATTGATACCTCGGGAACTTTACAGAAGCAAAGATAAAGTTTCTCTACACTTTCAAAACCCAGGACTCGAGATGATGATGACAAATAGAAGACATAGGTACCATAGAAAGAATCAAGAGACGCAATTAAAAAGCTGGGTTAGACCCTCAAGACATTGAAATCACAGAATGATAATATAAAAGATGTTATAAATTAAAATATTATTGAAATAATGTAAGAACTATCTTGGCTACTCTGGAGGCTGAGGCATGAGAATCGTTTAAACCCAGGAGACGGAGTTTGCAGTGAGCTGAGATTGCGCCACTGCCCTCCAGCCTGAGCTACAGAGTGATACTCTGTCTCAAAAGAAGAAAAAAAGCAGAGATAAGACACACCTGAAGGGAGAATTAGTGAAGTGGAAGATAGGTTACCTTAAATGTGGCACATACAAATGTAAAACATAAAAGGAGTCAAAAAATGTAGCAGATAAAAATTAGAAGGTCTAATAGGTGTTTAATGAGTTCCAGCAGGAGTGACTAGAAAAGGACAAAGCTACATTTAAGAGCTAATGGTTGAGAGTTTTCCAAGGTTGATGAAAAAATTGAGTCTTCAGATTAGTGATGCACTCTGAATCTGCAGCAGAGAAAAGTAAACAAGTAAATAAATGAATAATCCCACCTTTTTATGTTGTTTTGTTTTTTGAGATGGAATTTCACTCTTGTTTCTCAGGCTGAAGTGCAATGGCGTGATCTCAGCTCACTGCAACCTCTGCCTCCCAGGTTCAAGTGATTCCCCTGCCTCAGCCTCACAAGTAGTGGAATTACAGACATGTACCACCACACCCGACTAATTTTGTATTTTTTTTTTGTAGAGATAGGGTTTCACCATCTTGGTCAGGCTGGTCTCGGACTCCTAACTTTAGCTGATCCACCCGCCTTGGTGTCGCAAAGTGCTGGATTACAGGTGTCAGCCACCACGCTTGGCCTATTCCGCCTCTTTTTATATCATAGTGCAATGATGGAACACCAGAGACAAAAAAACCAAAAAAGAGAAAAGACATTTATTGTCTGATGTAAAACATACATTGTATATAACAGTAATAATGACATAAACTGATTTATAAAGAAGAGAAGGCAAAAATAAACAGTATTCATAATAAAAAGCTGATAGGAGTAGAAATTTAAAAATAGAAAACTTTCTTTTTTGGAGACGGAGTTTCCCTCTTGTTACCCAAGCTGAAGTGCAATGGCGTGATCTTGGCTCACCGCAACCTCTGCCTCCTGGGGTCAAGCAATTCTCCTGCCTCAGCCTCCTGAGTAGCTGGGACTACAGGCACGCGCCACCATGCCCAGCTAATTTTTTGTAGTTTTAGTAGAGATGGGGTTTCACCATGTTGACCAGGATGGTCTCGATCTCTTGACCTCGTGATCCACCCGCCTCGGCCTCCCAAAGTGCTGGGATTACAGGCTTGAGCCACCGCGCCCGGCCTAAAAATAGAAAACTTTCTAAGGAAATTTAATAAAATAGGCAATATTTGTTGGAAAAACATACCCTGAACTGACTCATGTGGATGAAACAAAATATATCTATGACCTCATTCTACAGGTACAGGCTACACGTTTATAATCAGTATGTTAAAGATAATGTATGTAAAGTATCCAGCATAGTGCCTGGAACATAGAAAATGCTGAGTGAAGATCAATATTGTATTAACTTGATTGCCTACTACTAAACTAACTGTTAGCTTAATAATCATTTATAATTTCTCCTGCTGAAATTAGTAAAAATAACTGAAAATTTTAAGATCTCCAAACATTTAAGAGTTACCTAATATACTTTGACAGTAGAGAACAATAAAGTCTCATTTGAGATGTGGATACTGGGTGATCTGCTTGGTTTATTCATTAGTTAGGGGATAGCAACATGGAAGCATTGAGGTGTGTAAAATTTATGTTTATACATTTGTCATACTGCTTGTTAAAAACTTGGAGATCACTTTGAAATAATTGTATCTGGGAATGGTATGTGTGTAAAGGCAAGGGTTATTGTGATATATATAATAACTAAATACTTGGCAAGATTTATAAAATACAGAAGTAAGGATTGATTGTTGGGAGAAGGGGATGGGTATAGTGATAGAATTTCTTTGCAGTGTTTTAAGGAATGGACAGATCAGAGGAAGTACCAAGGCTAAGCAAAATATACCAAGGCACAAAATTATGAACTAGTCTATGTGCCTGGTAGCTCTGTATTGTTGAGCAGGAACAGCAGGTACTATCAGGAGTTGAGAACATCATGCCACTTATACAGATTGTGACATTTTACCTGAAGTGGGGAACTTTTGAAGGATCAGATATTATCTCTGAACGACTCTTTCTTCAGTGTATTTTTCACTAAAATGCTTTTTCTCACTTGAGACCAGTTAGGGCCTCAGTAGTTGCTTTGATATGTGGTAAGTGGAATTGGAATTGAGTTTGACTTCAGAATTTCTAGCTTGGGGATTGTATGACATAACTGAGTAAGATTAGGCATATTGGATGAAATATTTAGATAATGAGTTCACTTTTGAAAATATTGGTTTGGGATGCCTGTACGACATCCAGGTGGATATTGGAGTCTGAGTTTCGATCAGGTAAAAATTTGTGTTTTTTTAGTCTAGTGATTATAGTTAAAACCATGAGAGAATGAAATTTTCTAAATAGAAGTGTACATTAGAAGTTTAGGGAATACAAAGACAACAGAGGAGTAAAGAGTTTTAAGACAGAGGAGTGTCAGCTGTATCTTAATGTCATACAAGGCGAGGATATCGAGGAATTGAACCTGTGAATTGCTGATAAGAAAATCAAATGCTGCTGCTGTGGAAAACAATTTGGCAACCCCTTCCAAAAGTTAAACATAGAATTACCATACGATCCAGCACTTACATGCCTAGGCATATACCCAGAATAATTGAAAGCAGAGACTCAAACAGAGGATACTTGTATACCAGTGTTTGTAGCAGGATTATTCGTAATAGGCAAAAGGAGGAAACAATCCAAATGTTCATCAGCGTATGAATGGATACACAAAATGTGGTATATGCATATGATGGAATTATTATTTATTCCTTAAGAAGGAATGAAATTTGGGTATGTGCTACAACATAGATGAATCTTGAAAACATTATTCCAAGTGAAATAAGCCAGACACAAATGAATAAATTTTGTATGGTTCCGCTTATAGGAGGTACCTAGAATAGCTATACTTATAGAGACAGAAAGTACAATAGAGCTTATCAGGGACTTGGATTGAGGGCAAGAGAATGGGAATTTACTGTTTAAGGGTTATAGAGCTTTTGTTTGGGATAGTGAAAAAGTTCTGGAAATGAATAGTTATACTGGTTGCACTCCATTTTGAAGTTACTTAACACTAGTGAATTGTTAAAGTGGTTGAAAATGGTTAAAGTGGTGTATTTTATGTTATGTATATTTTAACCCAATTAAAAAAAATCTGGGCCGGGCACGGTGGCTCACATCTATAATCCCAGCACTTTAGGAGGCCGAGGTGGGTGGATCATGAAGCCAGGAGATATAGACCATCCTGGCTAACATGGTGAAACCCTGCCTCTACTAAAAATACAAAAAATTAGCTGGGCGTGGTGGCACGCACTCATAATCCCAGCTACTTGGGAGGCTGAGGGAGGAGAATCTCTTGAACCCAGGAGTTGGAGGTTGCAGTGAGCCAAGATCGGCCACTACACTTCAGCCTGGGTGACAGAGCTCGAGATTCCGTCAAAAAAACAGAAAAAAAAAAAAAAAACCCCAAAAAACAAAACAAAACAAAAAACACACAAAACACAAAAAATGTGTTGAGCGAGTCATTAGAGTTCATGCTCTAGGGTAGGAGCTAGGTAAAAAAAATTTCACTTTTAAAAATGAAAGCAAGTTACAAGAGGTTACCATCCATTTTTGTGTAAGATACATAGTTGAATATATAAAATTGCAGTGGAAAAAATCTTGAGGGATTTACATAAAAATCTGGTTATCTCTGGGATAGAATTTTGGGTAAGATTTTTTTTTTGGTAATTTATCTGTATAAGTGTACTCCAAGCAAATATTTCTTGTGTAATAAGAGAAAAAGAAAAGTTAATACTTTAAAACAAACTCAAATCTTATAACAGTTCTCTTACTCTGTAGGTATATGGAGCTGCCATTCAATTTTATGAACCATACTCTCGGGAACTTCTATCAGAGAAACAGCTTATGCAGCTGGGCCTGTTGACGCCTGTGGAGAGAAAAATGGTCTCCAAATCCATCAATACAAACAAATGCATTTGTTTACTCTCACACTGGCCTTTTTTTGAAGCTTTTAGGAAATTTCTTATGTTTATCTACAAACTTTCTGTGTCTGGACCACATCCTCTTCCCATTGAAAAGTATGTATAATGATTAGAAAGATGACTGGTGGAAAACTGGGTATATAAATATACACATTTCATTGTTTGTGTAACTTTTAGCAGCAAAGTTGGAAGGGAAGAAAGGCTACAGTCACCCAGCTTTTTTGAATTTAAATTTAAATTTTGCTACTCAAGAGACTGGAGTGCAGTGGTGCGATGTCAGCTCACTACAACCTCCACCTCCTGGGTTCAAGCAATTCTCTGCCTCAGCCTCCTGAGTAGTTGGGATTACAGGCGTCCACCACCACACCTGGCTAATTTTTGTATTTTTAGTAGAGAAGGGGTTTCACCATCTTGGCCAGGCTTGTCTTGAACTCTTGACCTCATGATCCACCCACCTTTGCCTCCCAGAGTGCTGGGATTATAGGCATGAGACACCAACTTTTTACTTACTCCTGTCTTCACCTGAATCATTGACTGTGAACTTAAAATTGGATAGTAGTGGTAATGATGGCCAAATAATCTTTTGAGAATTCAGCTGAAGAAGTAAGTCATATAAATTATTGTGAGTGTTGTGAGTGTTGTTCTTTCTGTTTATCTTCTAATAACCAAAAGATAAATAGTTACGGGCACACACACACACACACACACACACATACACACACACACTCATCCAAGTGGCCACTATAAATTCTAACCATAAATCCTCTCTAAAGTGATACAGAAATGAGTAAGCATGAGTTGGCTGATGTTAAAAGTGAGGTTTTGGTTTTAGCATTGATAGAACTCCTTGAGCCTTCTCTTCAGTTTGTCCATTTTGTCATGGAAATCTTTTGTAAGCAAGAAAAATGTACGTTGAGCTACTCTTTTTTAAACCATCTTTTCTGATTTCTAGTGGCACATTCACTTCTGTTTATGTTAGTTTATAATATATGTATACCGCTAACAAACCAAAATGTGTCAAGAGCTTTCTGTAATGTACTAAAGTATGTGTAAACATAGATGTTTCTTATAATTTCAGAACTTTTACATTATAGCAGAAAGAATATCATGCTAGTTTAGTGGGTAGGGGTAATTATGTGAAGGTTTAAAAATAATGCTGTCCAAAAATCAGCTTTAAAAAGAGTACTGTACATAAACTCATCACACTTTGATATTGAAATATGGTTGCAACTTTCATTTTGTACTCTTGAAATGGCAATTTAATGATTTATAGTTCTGGGTTAAACTTTCAGCTGTCAGACTAATTTAAAGTTTTTTGAAGTAAAATTTAATGTTAGTGATAATTTAGCAACCTTTTGAAAAATTAAGATTCTATGAATAGCTTGTGAAAATACAATCAATGTATATAATCAATTTTTTTTTTCAGTTGAAGTAATATGTTGCATTTTTGTGACTCCTAAGAGTTTCAAACTTTGAAGAAACTTAAGAAGCAATTTTTTTTTTTTTTTTGAGACGGAGTTTCGCTCTTGTTACCCAGGCTGGAGTGCAATGGCGCAATCTCGGCTCACCGCAACCTCCGCCTCCTGGGTTCAGGCAATTCTCCTGCCTCAGCCTCCTGAGTAGCTGGGACTACAGGCACGCGCCACCATGCCCAGCTAATGTTTTGTATTTTTAGTAGAGACGGGGTTTCACCATGTTGACCATGATGGTCTCGATCTCTTGACCTCGTGATTCACCCGCCTCGGCCTCCCAAAGTGCTGGGATTACAGGCTTGAGCCACCGCGCCCAGCCTTAAGAAGCAATTTTTATAGGTGCAGAAATAGAATGGTTAGGTGGCCTTTCAAAGTTAGAGTAGTACATCTGGGATTAAATTCAATTTTAGTGTAAATTCATTATATCACAGTTAGTTGCTCCCTGTACTGGCACTGATAACCAGGGCTATAAAAATTCACTTCTTTCATGAAAACTATTTTTATGTTATTTTTATTTATTTGATAATTATAGGGGATATAAATATAGACTTTGAGTCAGGAAATACATTGTGTGTTTCAGAAGTTTAGTGGGCATGGATACATTCATTTACACTAAGCAAAGTTGCTTACTTTGCATATATTATAGATGGCCATGTCATATCTGGGATGATACATGGTGAGACTTAAGATTTGTTAAAACCTGTGATGCATTTTAGAAAAGTAATTATGATATTTATTTCAAATTTTTTTCTAGGCACATTTCACATTTTATGCAAAACATCCCTTTTCCTTCACCACAAAGACCGAGAATCCTTGTCCAGGTAAGCAAAAAAGAGTATATTTGGGGAGAACTTTGCATATGTTTTCTCCCATCATTGCTGAGTAGATTTTGTATACCTTTGGGTTTGGGGTGGAGCAGTATGCATTCGCGAAGTCCTTGGATTTTCTGTGCTTTGTAGTTTTACCGATCATCCTTTCTTACTGGATTCTGGATTTGAGTGTACAGAACTGGAATAATTATAATCCTTGGTTCATAACATTTTCATCTTTGGCCCTTGCATGGCCTTTATGTAGCTAATTTTAAACCCAGGATTATGTTTGGGCATGTTTGAGCAATGGTTGGAGGAGGTTAACTTAAACAAGGTCTATAATAGTACTATGCTGAAGGACCAGTTTCCTTTTATTTTCTGTAAGTAGCAGACGTAGGTTGTGACATATGCATATATAGCTTGTAACATATGCAACACGAACAGGTCTGTACCCTCTCTATAGTAGTAGTTCCACTGATCACGTGCTTGGATATGGGAGAGAGGTCAAATTGTCATAAAAGTTGCTTAACGTTTTGCTCTTCATTTATATACTATATCTTTATGGATTGTAAGAATTAACATACTGGCATACTTAACATACTTTGAGTAGCACTGGTTGATAGAGGGAAGCCATTTAAAAGTTTTTCTAAGACATTCTTAACATTGTATATGGTAGGATTAAGTCAGATATTGTTGATCTTAAATGTTATTTCAGTTCCGCAAGTATTAATGTGCCAAGCAATTGCTAATTGCCTACAGGCTGTTGAGCAAAACTGAATTTGAGGGTTTTCAAAAGCAATGATTTCATAAATTTTAAATGATTGTATCTTAACTGATTAAGTGAATCAAAATTCTGTCAAATTAAATTCTGAGAAAGAACTAATATACTGCTTAGTAAATACTGCTATTATTTTATATTTTAGTACATTTCAAAAAGTGTGTCTGCATATTAAACTATTAATGTTTTCAGTGTTACCTTTGATCTAAATATATAGATTTCAAAAGCAGTTTGGAAATTTATCTCTTGGTTTGGTTAATATACCTTTATCTTTTTTTTTTTTTTTTTAAGCTGTCAGTTCATGATGCATTAATATTATCACAGCCAGTTTCTACACCTTTACCACTAAGGTAATTACTGCTATTTAAAATGATATATTTATTCACTTGGAGCAGAATGCTTTAAAATATTTTAGTGATTAGTATAATAAAGTTAATTGTTATTTTACAAACTAGGTACATATAGCCTTAATGTTTCTAACTTTGATAGCTGGATGGATGGTGAGGCTATTTTATAAATGGGAACAGTTAAGAGAGTTGCAAGATTGCATATAGTAGATACTTCCCTTTTCTTCTCGTCTCTCCTTCCCATATCTAGTTCATAACTAAATGTTCAAGGTGAACTGATTTTAACCTTCTAAATGTCTTGAATCCATTTACTTCTTTTCGTCTGCATCACACTAGGTGTGCGTGATGTCTTCCCAGACTAATTCACTATTAGGCTCTTATTTGGTACCTTTTTCCTCATCTTTCTTCAGTTCTTTATCCACCCTGTAGCCAGTGTGTCCTTTTGAAAATGCAAATATAATAGTATCATTTCAATTTCAGCCTACTCTGTTGCTGTTTTCACCCTTTCCCTTACTATGCTTTAGTCACAATAGATTTATTTCAACTTACTGGCTATGACAACAGTTTATTCTTGCTCCAGGGCCCTTGCATATATTGTCTGTCACCCCTTTACTCCCATCTTTATCTCCATTCTTCTAAGCTCAACTCAAATGGCTATTCAGGGAAATCTTTTTTGATAAATGCCTTTTGTCACTAGAAGATGAGTTTAAATGACCCAGTTATATGATCTTATTAAATTTGATACTTTTCATTGATAAATAAGTGAAGACTTGAAATTAACTCTAGACTTTCAATCTGTTAATACTTAGGAAATAATTTAATAAGCAAATCTTAACATGTTTTAGCAAAATAGTTCACAATGATCTCTTTTTCTCTTTTTTTTTCTCAGTGGAGCCAATTTTAGCACCTTGCTAATGAATCTGGGTCCTGAGAATTGTGCAACACTGCTGCTCTTTGTTTTACTTGAGAGTAAAATTCTGCTGCATTCTCTTAGGCCAGCAGTCTTGACTGGGGTTGCTGAAGCGGTTGTAGCTGTAAGTATAGAATTTTCCTTTTAGGACAAAATTACTGACAGGTAATTTTTACTCCAAAGGGGAATTTCCTTCAAAAACAGCAACTTTGAAAGCAACAACAAATGTTTAAAAAGCAACTTTGAAAAATTACCGGCCCAGTAAAAGTTGAACATAATCTACTGGCAAAGAGAGATAGGAAATATAAAGAAAACAAAGGTTATTTCTATCTGAGGAAAAATGTCTATTTCCAATTGTTCATATTTTAGAGTTCTTCCCAGAGTAAAAACTATATACTTGTATAATAAAGCCTGAGAATGAAGCTGATTGTATTGAGAGGCTGTGACCAGTTTCAGCTGTTCTAAAATTAGGCAAATGATTACATAGTTAATTTCTCCCCATTTTAACTTTTAATAATTGTGAATCAGTAATATATGGAAATTGTAAGTGATTGTGAAATAGGATAATATACAGAGGCTTTAGCTCTTTTGTCAAGCATAATAAATGAAAATTAAGTTGTTAAAAATGAAGTTGTTCCCTGCTTAAAACGCTTTGGCTTCCCATTGCACTTAAAATGAAGTTTGATTGCTGTACATGGTGGCTCACACCTATAATCCTAGCACTTTGGGAGGCCTAGGCAGGCAGATCACCTGAGGTTGGGAGTTTGAGACCAGCCTGACCAACATGGAGAAACCCTGTGTCTACTAAAATTACAAAATTAGCTCGGTGTGGTGGCACATGCCTGCAGTCTCAGCTACTTGGAAGACATGAGGCAGGAGAATCAAGCTGAGATCGTGCCATTGCACTCCAGCCCAGGCAACAAGAGCGAAACTCTGTCAAAAAAAAAAATGAAGTCTGAATATATAGGGCATTAATAATAGGCCATTGTATAGAACTTTAGATGTTCCACTTCTCCAACCCTATCACCCATTAATTGTTTAATTTAAAATAGTTGACTCTGCTCTCTTCCCTTCCCCATTTTAAGAATGTAAGTCTCTTAGGAGTAAGGACCTGATCTCTTGTTTACTCCTGTATTCTCACCACTTGTTATAGTTGTTTAGCACAGAGTAGGTCCTTAATAAATACTTGTTGTATTGGGTATGTCTCTAAGATCTTTATCTGGTTGGAGAAGTACTGTTAGGACTAAAAACAATAATAACCATAAGAAACAGCTTATAAGGAGGATCCTCATTAAGTGTTACTTTTCCAAGTCATCACAGTTGTATGTGAAAGCAAAAGTTGTTAGAATATGAAAATATTTTTTGGTGAACACATTTTAGAAAGTTCCCACCCAGGCTAGGGGTGATGGCTCATGCCTGTATTCCCAGCACTTTGGGAGGCCGAGGCGGGTGGATCATGAGGTCAAGAGATTGAGACCATCCTGGCCAACATGGTGAAACTTCGTCTCTACTAAAAATACAAAAATTAGCTGGGCATTGTGGTGAGCACCTGTAGTTCCAGCTACTCGGGAGGCTGAGGCAAGAGAATCACTTGAACCTGGGAGGTGGAGGTTGCAGTGAGCTGAAGACTCTGTTTAAAAAAAAAAAAAAAGAAAGTAAGTTCCCACCTAAATATTTCTTACTAAATAAAACATTAGTGTTTATTCAAGCCCCTTTGTCAGAATCATGTTGCCCTAGTTTCTTGATGGATTTCAGTAATATGGTGCAAGAACAGCTGAAAAAAGTGCTACATGGAATTGGTACTCTTATGAAAAATTCCAGAGTATATTAGATTTATGTAATTGATGTTGGAAAGCTGTCTGAATTGCATGCAAAATCATTTATAAGTCATGATTGGTAGTTATGCCAGTTACCATTTGAAGAAGAGAACATTGAAAAGAATGGTGACAAAACAAATGCTTCAAGATGAGAATGATTTAAATGTCAAAGAATATCAAAGAATTAATGGAGACCCATAGCAACGATTGATGAAACGTACGAGAGCATTATAAAAAGTGACCCTATAGAGTTGCAAAAGGCAAAGGTGAAGAGAAGGATGTCATATTTTGCTAACACATTGCTTTTTTTCTAAGGTTTGTTAGATACCTTTTGTTGAATAGAAGATAATTGTCACTCAAGGAAATCTGAAGTTCTTGCAGGGTCCTTTGTGAGTGGCTCTGTCCCTCAGCAGTCTGATCTCATTTTCCACTACTTTTCCTCTTGCTCACTCTTCTCCAGCATTCTGGCCTTACTGTCCTGGAAGCATTAGGCATTCCCCATACTTTAAGGCCTTTGCCCAAGCTGTTCCTTTTCACTGAAGCACTCTTCTCCTATATATCCCCTTGGTTAAATCTCTCACCTTCAGGTTTTAGCTCTGTTGTCACTTTATTAATGAGGCCTGTCCTGTTTGTTCTCATATAACCTGCTTTTCCTCTCTCCTGCTCTGAACTCTGATGTCCTTCACTTGGCTTTCCTTTCCTTTTCCTTTTTTTTTTTCATAGCACTTGTCACTTCCTGACATATAGGTAGAATATCCTTTATGCAAAATGCTTGGAAAAAAGCGCTTTGGATTTAGGATTTTTTTTTTTTTTTTTGATTTTGGCATATTTGCAGAATACACACTGGTTCAACATCCCTAATGTGAGACTCCTAAGTCCTAAATGCTTCTATGAGCAATTTCTTTTTAGCGTCATGTTTGTCCTCAAAAAGCTTTGGGTTTTGGAGCACTTTGGATTTTGGATTTTAAATTAGGGATGCTCAGCCTATAGCATAATATTTTATTTATTATATTTTTCCTTTTTGTTCCTCTCTTCCTGCTAGACAAGGTGTTTGCAAACGATGGCTGGATCCTGCCTGTCAAATCCTGCCTTCCACTGATTTCTATAAGATTTTATTGGAACATAGGCCATTTATTTATATCTTGCCTGTGACTGCTTTCATGCATGATGGAAGAGTTAAGTAGTTGAGACAGAGAATATGGCTCACAGGGCCTAAAATATTTACTGATTTTTACAGAAAAAGTTGCTGTATCCTAAACTTTTATCCTAAACTGTAAATCTCATGAAGACAGTGATCTGTTTCATTTATTGTTAAGCTCCCATTATGTAGAACAGTGATTGGTATATAGCAAGGGCCCAAATATTAAGTAAATAAATGTTTGAAGACAAAATTCCAATCCTGAATAACCCTCTGCAATAGCTGGCAGAGGTAGTAAGTGTTATAGGCATTTCTTTGGGTTGAGTAATGATGGATAAGGGTGAGAATTGAACTAGACCTTGAAAGATAACAAGGATTTTTATAGTACAAGAAAAATATTATCATCAGTAAAATTTTAGTAACTAGGTAATTATTAAAATTTTTTTTTCTAAAATTTGTTCATTTATTTTTTTTTTATGGAGATAAGAGTCTCACTCTGTTGTTCAGGCTGGTCTTGAACTCCTGGCCTCAAGCAGTCCTCCTGCTTCAGCCACCCAGAGTGTTGGGAGTCACTGCATTTGGCCTTAACTTTATTTATTCTTTTTTAAAAAACATCAAAAACTTGTCTTTTTTTAAAAAAAGCGCAAATGATGCGATTAAAGTTTTGTAAAGGAAAACAGGTAAAGATTCTTGAGGAATTTTTTTTTTCTCTTCTTTTTATTCTTTTTCTGTCTCATCATGTCTGAACAGAGGAATGTTTTATATTGACTGTATTCTTTTTTTTTTGGAGACAGAATCTTGCTCTGTCACCCAGGCTGGAGTGCAGTGGCATGAACTTGGCTCACTCCAACCTCCGCCTTCTGGGTTAAACCTATTCTCCTGCCTCAGCCTCATGAGTAGTTGGGATTACAGGCGTGTGCCACCACACCGAGCTAATTTATTTAATTTAATTAATTAATTTATTTATTTATTTGTTCCTCACCTGTGTAAAAAAAACTAATTTTTTATTTTAGTAGAGACGGGGTTTCACTATGTTGGCCAGGCTGGTCTTGAACTCGTGACCTCAAGTGATTTGCCCACCTTGGCCTCCCAAAGTGTTGGGATTACAGGTGCGAGCCACTGCGCCAGCCTGTTGACTGTTTTTTAAGATGTCAAACATCACTGATGTTTATTTGAACGGTTAGGAATTTTTTTGTTGAGATCTTTAATAAGCTATTAGCATTCCCAGAAAAATCAGTAGGTTTTTTTTTTTTTTTTTTTTTTTAATCCTTGATGCTTTTAGTTGGATTTTGATCTGAGGTAATTTTGAGAATTAATAGGTGAATGAAACGTGTAAGAGTTAAAGATCATAAGTTTGTTTTATGACATTTTGGGTCATTTTATTATATTTTGACTCTCCATAAAATTGGAATGTGGGCTTTGTATAGATATTAGAAAAGTTAACGTGCAAAGAGCTATTAGTATTTCTGCTGTGCTTATGATCATTGCCATGGCTTGAAAATTTTAATTACATTTGTTCATAGTGTTGCTTAGTATTTTATAGTCATTTAGTTTTGGAATGAAGTTTAAGGTAAACAAAACAGACTTACCTGTTTTTCAGTGGTCCCGCTTAGTATATTAGTTACTTATATAATTTCTATTGCAAATTTAAAATTTGGTTAATTTTTTAAAACTTTTTTCCCAGATGATCTTTCCATTTCAGTGGCAATGCCCATATATTCCACTTTGTCCTCTTTCACTGGCTGCAGTGCTTAGTGCACCTTTACCATTTATAGTTGGAGTTGACTCAAGGTATTTTGATCTTCATGACCCACCACAAGATGTTGTTTGCATTGACTTGGATACGAACATGTTATATGTGTAAGTTGATTCATTTTATATTATCTCACATTTATATTTTTCAGTATATATAGTTATAGTTCTTTGAAAGCATTTAGAAATTTGCTATTTTTGGTAGTTGTTAAATCTTCATCTTAAATACAGCAGCTCTCAACCAGGGCAAGTATCAGAATCTGGGAACGCTCTGTGATTCGGAAAAAATCATATTCAATATTATAATAGTTTATGTCTGGATAACAATGTTAAATGTAAGCAGGAGATATTTATGTTTATCAGAAGATACTATGAGTTTGAAAAGTAATGGGTAAACACTGCTTTCAGAGCTCAAGAGATGATGTGCTTTCTAGGTGGTTTTTTTTTTTTAATCTCTCTTAGAATCTCTTTTATAAAGGCACTAGGTTTAATTCAAAATGCATATGTAAGTGAAATGGGTTTATCCATTGGAGATAAAGTTTAGTTACAGTATAGGGTGATAGTACACCATTTGCTTATTTGTCAGGATTTGAATTTTGTAAGGATCTATTCTTTACTGCATAGAAATTGGTATTAAAAATCAGTTATAGTTTGTGTTTGCTGGAGGTTATAAGTACGGCAGCGGTACAGCTGAGGGTTCAGAGAGTAGCAAACCACATTAATAAAAGAAATAGTTCTGGATGGATGTTTAAGGGTTGCCGCTTCCCCCGCCAAAAGTGGGAAAGGGCAGTAAGTATTAAAAATTTTCTAGTGTTGGTGCCAACTTCCAGGCTGTGAAACACTTTTATTCTTTACTGTTTGAGATTGGTAGAAAATAAATAAGAAAAATCTGGAGGCCTAAATAGTCCCAGCAGTAGAATTGGTTGGAAAATATTTTTATGTGAACCAAAAAAATACCCTAAAGAAGTAAGAAGACATTTACTGTAACTTAAAATATAATTTTGACATGGATCTACCATTGTATTTTGAAGCTGTATAGCTGTAGTATCTCCTACATATATTTAGATTTACTTACAGTTTGGAAATAATGAACAAGTTACATAAATTGATAGTTTTTTGTAGCACACATTTTGTTGTTTATAGACTACTCTCCCCGAAAAATAGTTATTTCAGGAATGTATTAATTGTGGTGTTTTTAGAAATAATTATTTATGAAGTTAATACCCAGATTTTTTTTACCTTATTTTATTTACTGTTCTGAATATAATAACATGGAGAATCTTAATTTTGCCCAGTTTTGAATAACTTTTATAAAATTTCCGATAATCAAAACATTATTTTCTAACATAAATTTGAAGTGTTTGCTCTGTTTTATTTATTTATTTATTTGTTTGTTTGTTTGTTTGTTTGTTTGAGACAGAGTCTTGCTCTGTCGCCCAGGCTGGAGTGCTGGAGTGCAGTGGCATGATCTTGGCTCACTGCAACCTCCACCTCCTGGGTTCAAGTGATTCTCCTGCTTCAGCCTCTTGAGTAGCTGGAATTACAGTTGCATGCCACCATGGCCGGCTAATTTTTTTGTATTTTTAGTAGAGTTGGGGTTTCACAATGTTGGCCAGGTTGGTCTTGAACATCCCAAAGTTCTGGGATTACAGGTGTGAGCCACTGTGCCCACCCTGCTCAGTTGTGTTTAAAGAGTTATGAAATGTGCCCAGGTATAGTTTCTCACACCTCTAATCTCAGTACTTTGGGAGGCTGAGGCAGGAGGATCACTTAAGCCCAGCAGTTTAAGACAAGCCTGGGCAAACGTGTTGAGACTCCATCTACATAAAATAAAAAATTAGCCAGGAATTACCTGGAAGTGCTAATGTTGCTTGGTAGGGAATGAGCATTTTCAACTTACTAGCTAATACCAAATTATCCTCCCAAGTTTACTCTGTCCTCGGCAGATGAGTTCTCTTTGTTTCATATCCTTGCCAACATTTGTGGTCAGACTTTTAAATTTTTTAGTAATTTGATGGTAATGGTATCTCACTGTGGCCTTAGTTCACATTTCCTTAATTAGTAGCAAATGGAGCATTTTCATATCTTGTGCTCCTTTGTTTTCCTCTCCTGTGGATTGTATGTTCCTTTGTTGGTTTGTTTTCCTGTTAGACTGTCTTTTTCTTTTGATTTGTAGAAATTGTATATATAATCTGGAATTAATTCTAGGTCTGCTGCATACATTCAAATAGCTTCTTCCACATTGTGACCTGTCATTCCATTCTGCTTTTGGTGTCTTTTGACAAACAAAAGCCTATTTTAATTTGTCAAATTTATTAATTTCTCTTTATGGAGTACTGTTTTTGGTTTTTGTATATGAAATATTTTGCCCTGAGGCCATGAAATATTATGGTTATTTTTAAATTTGTGAGGTTTTGCTTCTCTCATATTGTTATTTAGTTCAGCCAAACTTGATATGACATATCAGTTTCTGTATTTATATAGATATGTATAAAAATAATTTTTCCTTTGATTTGTTTGAACCTCTTGCTAGTATTATACTATCTTAATGACTTTAAAATTAAGTTGTCCACAACATGAATGAACCTTGAAAACGTTATGTTAAATGACCTTATATTATGATTCAATTTATATGAAATGTCCAAAACAGGCAAATCTCTAGAGGCAGAAAGTAGATTGATTAGTGGTTGCCTTGGAGTGGAGAGGATGGGAGTATTGGAAGCTAAGTGACTATGGGATTTTTTTTTTTTTTTTTTTT